TAACACAGGCAAAGAGATCGTAGGGTGCGTATTCCATCACCTCGTACCATTTGCCCTTCTCCTGGAGTATATCCAGGGTTTCGATGATGTTGCCGTGGTGTAGAGTGGAACCAACGCAGAACTCGGCCGTCAACTTCTTCACATACTCCTTCTCGGTCTCGTAAGAATGTCTGGGACGGAACTCCTTGACCGCAAAAACCACGCCGTCCTCGCTCCTCTTCATCAACCTCACAGATCCGCCAGCGCCAGATCCAAGGACCCTGCCGAGCTTGCCGTACTTCGAGGTCAATCCGTGATCGTCACCAAAAGGCAGCTGATGAGCAGAAGACCTTGTAGGTGGAGTCTTGGCGCCAGAGCGAATCGAAGACGGTGAAGCTTCCCTCTTCATCTTGTGGTGACCGCCGACCTTGAAAAATCTCTTCAAGTCCGCAAAGGACCCTTGTCGGCTAGAGATGCTAGCCGCATCGTCGTGAGGGACCTGGAGCTCGTCACCGTGACCCTTCAGATTGCCCAATATCCCGGAGTGACGCTTTTCGGTAGTACGACCCAGGCTCGACGTTGAGCCGGAGGGGGACCCATGCTTGTTCTTTCTCCTGGAGAAGACGAATCTCGAGTCGATGGTCCCACGTTGAGGATTTGGAGCTTGGGGTTGGCGCTTGTGAGCGGCATACGGGTCGTTGGCGTCTCCGCCGGGCGTCATTGGCTTGGAGTAGTACATTGAAGCCCGAGATGGACTAGATTCTCGGGAGACAGGCACGGATCCGCCCGGGCCGATAGAGAACATGCCTTTCCTGTGCGATCTCGCGTCGTGGTCTCTGTCTTCTGCGGATGCTGATCGTTGAGCAACTTGCTCGGTCGACTTTGCGCGGACCGGCATGCCTTTTCTTGTCGACGACGGGGGCGACGTGTCATGAGAAGAAGAAGCCTGTGGGGTGATGACCTGAGGCTCGCTCGAGGTGGTCTTCCGGGCATCGTCATGGCTAACGCTCTTCTTGGTTGGATCTTGGGGGTCGGTACCCGCCGGGGTCAGGGGAGGTGACTGCATCGGGTGCACCGGACCAAAACGCGGCGATTTCGGACCACTGGAATTCGGGGTCGGAAGCCTGCTGTTGTCGGACTCTTCTTCGCGCGAGCAGACCTGGTCGAAGGGGAGAGATGTCAGTAAGAGCCGGTGGTGCAGGCTGGCGTGTGCGACGCAGTGGACATGGCAGGTTGGAATAGCTGGCTTGAGGCAAAGCAAGAGACTTTTCAAGGATGCCTCTGCTTAGAGGCGCCATTGAGACCAGTCCTTGGTGGTTGTGCAGCATACGATGTGCCCGGGGAAGAGGGGCCTAAACATTGAGGCGGTGTTGGCGGTAGAGGTGGAGGGGTAAGGCAGGTAGGACGGGAGGTATGTGCTTTGAAACGTAGAGCATCCGGGGCGAAAGCCCAAGCAAAAAGCAGAAGACGTCAAGATACTCCAAGCTAAGGATATGAGAGGACGAAATGGGCATGAGATGTACATACGCGTGATGCGGGCAGCGAGTATGGCTCAAAGCCAAAGACGTTCATCCGGCGCTGCTGCAACGGTGCTCCTTGGAGGGACTTGGAAAGAGCTCTCAGCTGATCGGGGGTGACCTCTGAGAGAGAAGCGTCTCCGAGAGCGGCATCGATGGGCGACTGGGTGTCGGTTGGTGATGTCGTGGTGACGGTAGGCGTAATCTCCTGGACGGAAGAAGCGAAGCGGACGGCGGGCGCATCCTGAGGGGGCATCTTGTCGTCTTTGTCGGCATCGGAGGAGGTGTTGAGCGCGTTGGGTGTGATTTCTGGGCATTGCGACAAGCGCAGCGGTCAGCACGAGATTTCTTGGGCATGAGCTTGGGCTTTGGCTTTGAGCGAGGGTGGGCATGGGCATCTGTCCGTCTGTCTGTCTGTTGGGTGAAGGGTGAGAGGAGGATCGGCTGGACTGAGGCGGACTGCCTGGGCGCGCTCCTCCATGGTGCTGCTATGCTGTGCTCTGCTTGCTGCGCTGGTACGGGTGCTGGTGCTGGTGCTGTGTGACTGTGACATGCGCAACAGATGAACCGAGGGCGGGGTTGCGCTCCGGAACAGACGGAAGGATAGGGCGTTTGTACCTGGGACTTTGATTTCCTCCTTCTGAGGATCGCGAGGGGGAGACGGGGCGGCCATGACCCCGACTGAAAGGATGACGATAGTCTACTCGGGCGTGTCGTTTGGCAAAGGCTGGTGTTTGAGGCGGGGAGAGTTGAGGCAAGTGGGAAGAAATCAAACAAATTCACACACAAAGTCGGGCTTGGGAAAGAGAAAAGTACGGATACCCAGGGACACGACGGGCAACCAGAGAGAGTGTGTGTGGATGCCGCCAATTGCGGATGGTGGGGCTCTGACTACAGCTAAAATGCACCGCATGGGTCACTTGTGACTTGTAGCAGTTGTGGTCGCAGTCGCATTGCAGTCGCTGTGTAATACCAAGCCTTGTGAAGGTGAACGAGTACTTGCGTGTAAGTACTCTGCCGTACTTGCCTGCCCAAAGGCTAAGTAAGCGTGTGCTAAAGTACCTACTTACCTTAGGTAGGTAGGTAGGTCGGAGGTATGGAAGAGGTCGGCATCGTGACTGGACCTTTTCTGCTGCATCAGATTCTCAAAAGGTACGGGTCCTTCTAGTTGCCCGTCAACCCGCGCCGCCAGTCAGAGGACGACGGGAGGAGGTACCCGGTACTCCCAGTCCCATCACAGGCTGATGAGAGGGAAAAAGATACAAGCTGACTGGTCGGGGCCGGCGTCCCTTATCGGGGGGAGCGGTGGGCTGGATAAGACACCGTAACACCGGAATGGAGCCTTTTCGGCCTTCTCCTGGGCTTCTGGGTCGTGGAACCGCTGAAGACCACTGGGGGCAGGTCGGGAGTCGGCTTGGGGCCGCTTGGAAACTGCCTAGGAAACGGGAGCAATACTTGGCAGCCCCCCCGAATCATGGATGCATTGCGCGTATCTGCATCAGGACCCAGCCGGAAGGCCCTGCTGTTCTGCCCTGCTGCCCTGTCTTGCCCTGCCTGTTTGGAAGCCTTCCTGTCCCTGTGGTGATCGGAATGTTCGATGTTCTATTTTTTCCAGAGGGCTTGTCCTTTTTCTCGGCTTTGCAGCCGTGACACATGCAGCAAGGTACTTTACCAATTTTACGAATCTCACAGGACCCCAAGACAATATCGATATTGACAGCCGGGTCTTGGCTGTTTGCTGTTCGGTCCGTCCCACCCCATCAATGACTACAATGGACGGAAAGAATTTTCTCTTTCCTCGCCTCCAGCTTCCTTCCTCCTGGCATCCATGAATCACTCCCTCCCTCCCGCCTAAACATCTGTTAGGTATTGCCCGCCATCTTATTTGGCAATGCAAACGACTGCTTTGGACCGGGATGAACGAGTCAAGCTCAACAGCAAACAACCCAGGCCAATCCAAACCCGTCGTCGCCCTCCCTCACAACAAACGAAAGAACGTGGATGCCAGATGCACGTCCCGTCTTCCCACCATTATCCCGTCATCCTTCGGCTTACACGAGCCGCGACGAAGCAGTCTCTGTCAGCTCTCGGCTAACAGACGGGGTTCTGATGAAATGATTGACAGGAACAGACGGACCAAGACCTCCACAGGCCCGGTCAATAACTCACTCACTTCACTAGCAGTTACCACACTTACATACCGAGACGTACCGCAGTACCGCCGCAACTCCGGTTCCAGCCCGACCCGGCGACGAGCCCAGCACTGTGGCGTAGGTGCTGATGTGTTGCAGCTAACTGCAGCATGAAAACAGCCATTGTTCCGTCACATGTGTCCGGCATCGAATCGGTTCCACCCTGGCGAAGCCTTGGAAGCCCTCTTGTGCAGCTGACAGGTCGATGCGATGCGATGGAACTGTTTGTCCAGGTACAGCGCCGCTTTCCAGGGGCAAGGTGGGCATCGATGCAAGCAAGCCAGCAGGCAATGGACGCTGAACCTGGACGATTGCCCGGGCCTGGACCTCTCTCCTCGTCGCACCCAGCGGGGAAGCTGAGGATGGAACTCAGCTTCGAAGCGCCGGCGCCGCACCGTTCGTTCCTTTACTGCGTGGTACTTCTCTGTGGTGCACAGGTAGGTTCTCACCTACTCGCCTTACATAACCAATAGCAGTGGGAACTCCCTCACACTCATCGGAGGTAACGTCAGCACTACGCAGCTCAGCAACCAGTACCTTGCAGCACATGACTTGGCTTTACCTCGCACATCTGCATCTGAACCAACTCCCCAAATGTGATCTCGATTTGCACGAAGCTTCTGACACTTAAACCCAAGATTCCCCACTGATGCGCTGGCAATCCGCTTGCATTCTCGTTCTGGACCTCTGATCGACCTTCTCACACTTCCAGGAGCTCAGCTCACGGAGAGTTCTCCCCTCTCGCCCCGTCTTAGACTCTGGCCAATCCGACCTGCACCGCTCACAGACCGTACCGTTGCAGCTTGAATTTCGTCATAGTTTGTCTATTCGACCTGCTGTCAAACTTATTCTGAACCATCGGACACTCCGCTAGTCGTTTCGATTGCCCACGGACAGCTAACCAGTCCAGAGTCATTGGAGACATGCAAGAGCGCGAGAACAGACTTCAGCTCTCCCAAGACGAGACACATGGTCGAAGTCAGTGCCTCCTCGGAACTAGGCACGCATACACCAGAACCGCAGCCGCTTCATGTCGCAAATGCCGCTAAACCACGCGACCAACGTAAGAAGCGTGGCAGCCATCTGCCACAATTTGGCCGCTGAAATTTCTCATTGCATCGTACAACGTACAATCTTCCCAGTTACTATTCTACCCCGTCTCCTCTCTGATATAATACAACAACACAGGCGCTCTTTTCTTGGTGAGGGAGATGGTATACAATTGGATAGTTTCCGCGCCTGACTCCGTTTTTGATGAGGGTATGTAACGTAGAAAATCGATTTGTCGAGGTTGTGGCCGAGAGTGGTCGCCCTATGGCACGACATTGAGGCCAATCGTCCTGCACTGGTAGATGATGGACCTGCAGAGAGATTCGAGGCTGAGGCCTGACAGGCGCGTCTCGGATTGCTTGATCTTGGCGATCTCGTACACGTGCTTCAAGCTGAGGGTGCCGACTGTCTCCTTGCCAGGGTTCGATGCGCCCTTCCTCTTCTTCTTGTTGCCAACTGGCACAATCGGCACCTCGGCGGCGTTCAGCAACAGCCACGATGTCTGCGGCGTTCGGATGTCGAAGTGGAATGAGCGGTCGCCGCGAACTGTGACTCGGCAGGGCATCGGCGTGCCGACGATGAGGTTTGCCGTCCTTGCATTGAACTCCTATATCGAAAGCCCCGTTAGCATTGATGTCTTCCAAGGCATGGTCGAACCGATGCCACCCTGAAAAAGAACAGAGCACGGTTGTTGGGCAGCAGGTGGCCATGTGTTCGTCGCAGCATTGGGATCGAGGGATCGAGGGTTGGCAGCCTCACCTTGCAAAAGTCCATCGACTTCACACCCTTGCTACCCAGCGCAGGACCGACGGGGGGACTGGGACTCGCCTGGCCGGCGCCGACAATGAGCTTCACGACCTGGTCGGCCACGGCGGCTCCTCTCTTCGACATGATGGGCGCGTATTGCAGGTGTTCTGACAATCCGGGGAGAGGGGGAGGTGGCGGCTAAAGTACCGTATGCGCCTTGCAAAACAGCCTCACTCAATCGAATCCGATGCTGAATGTGTTCGGAGATGGAAAATTTAGAAGCCTTATGCACTAGCCACCGCTAAACGTCCAAGCGACCGGGATGCTCGGGGAAGGAAAGCTCCACCCAGGCTCCCCTAGCCACAGTTTCACCGTCATTGGGTGGTGGGATGACCCCTCGGCCCCTCCGCCAGTTATTGTATGGGGCGGTCAGCTCCAACTTCTACCTTTCTGAAGCGCCTGGTTTCCATTTCCTCCTTCTTAACAACTCAACGAGCAGCTAAGTTTTGGAGATCAAGTCTTTGCTGTCTCACCCAAGTCACCTATTCCGAATCGCACCTAATACAATTATCCATCCGTCAATCCGACTTCTCCGGTCCGACACTGTCAACATGTTCAAGTGGGCGCAACAAAAGTACATACCAAGCCGCCCCCAACTCTTGCCCGTCCCAAACTGCCCCTGCTAACCTGCAATTCTGACAGGCTCGCCGATGTGGCGGGTACCCAAGAGCCCATCTACGGACCCTCAGCCATCAAGTCCGTCGCCGAGGAGGCCAAGGAGATCACCTTCACCGAGCTCAACAAGGACCATCTCAAATGGATTGCCGCCGACTCCACCTCGGTCGAGACGCAGAGCTTCTACCTGATGGGTGATGAGGGGCACATTGGAATGGCCCAGGTCATTTACAGCAACGTTGGGTATGTTGGCGCGTCGTTGCGCAACCGCGCGAGTGCGCACGCCCATCGTCGCCTCGATTACCTGCTAACCTCGCCCGTCTGAACAGCGGCATCCGCACGACCTGCCAGTTCAACGTCAAGATCTGGTATCCCAACAACTCGAAGCCCATGCTCTGGGAGGCCACCCCCCTCAACCACTACGAGGTTAGCGAAGATCGGTACTCCTTCTTCGCCGACGACTGCGCCGTCGAGCTGTCCGCGGACGGCACCTTCTACACCATCAAGAGCATGAACTCGGACAACGCTCTCGTCAACCTCAAGGTCACCCGCACCTCGCCCGGTTTCCACGCCGGCAAGACTGGCAAGACGTTGTTTGGCACCGACCTGTCTAAGCCCTGGGGCACCATGCGCCATGCCTTCTGGCCCCGTTGCGCCGTCGAGGGCACCATCACCACCAAGGCGGGCCCCGTCAACTTCACGGGCAGGGGTTTCTACGTGTACGCGCTGCAGGGTATGAAGCCTCACCACGCCGCCGCCAAGTGGAACTTTGTCGACTTCCAGGGCCCCAACTATTCGGCCGTCATGATGGAGTACACCACGCCGCCCTCGTACGGCTCAACGGTGGTTAGCGTTGGTGGCATCGCCAAGGACGGCGAGCTGATTTACGGCGGCGTCACGCAGACTGCCACACACACCAAGTCCAAGAGTGATAGCGTCAACGAATGGCCCGAGCCCGAGGAGATCAAGTTCACCTGGTCCGGCAAGGACAAGGATGGCAAGGCAGTCGATGGCTCCATCGTGGGCGCCTTGGAGGAGAGACTCGACAGGGTGGACGTTCTGGCTGAGGTTCCTGGCTTCGTGAAGAAAATAGTAGCTGGAACGGCGGGCACCAAGCCATACATCTACCAAGTAAGCTCATGTAGCCTCAAGCAGTCGATTCTCTAGCTAACAGCCTGCCAGTTCTGCCCGACAAAGAACAAGCTTTCCTTGAAGCTTAAGATCGGAGACCAAGAGATCTCCGAGGAAGGACTTTGCTACTGCGAGTCCACCTTCATTTCTGAATGAGAATACCGTAGACCTTGACTAATGGGGGCTCCTTGGGTAAATATGGCCCGGTGCGGTTTGGCGTTCTGATGGGGCTCAGGTCACTCGTTCCTGCTCGGTTATTATTCATAAGACTGTTCTAATACATTACATTCTTCGCCTTGTACGCATGGCTCAATACGTGAAACTTTTGACATGATACTGCTCCTTCCACGTCTTTACTCCTGCCAAGACCAAGATCCGTGGCACCTGCCTGGAGCTCTAGGTTCTGATGAAACATGACGCAACGCAACTGCTTGTCTTGGATGCACAGTGTGCAGTCGATACCCTGCATGGATACACTGTTTTTGAGCAGGGGTCAGTCGCCGATAAGGTTGATAAGACACTAGAACGCGCCTGCAGCTACTGGGGGGCCTGGGCACCCCGCGCTAGTAGGTGCAAGCCACAGCAGTCGCGACGGCCGGGGGCATATCTAAACAATCAACTTCCTTGTCGACGCCCCTTCTTGCTACCAAACTCACGAACAACACCTCACAAGTTACCTACAGTCAATCCCATCTAGACCACCATCCGAAGACCACGCTCACTAGGCACGCATCCAAGAACAACTCGCAATAATGCCACCCATGCCAGCGTCCCGCGGGGGCCCTGGCGGTGGAAAGAAGGGCACCGGCAAAGTCTCTGGAGGAAAGGTTCTCCCGGGACAAGGTGCGAAGCGCCACCGGTATGTCAGTCTCCAGGTCTATACCAGCGTCTAGGTGAGATCAGGATACTGACGTGGTGAACAGGAAAATCATGAAGGACACAATTCGCGGCATTAGTACGTGTGCTGGATCGCCCAAGGTCTTACAGACATGTGGGGACAGCGGCTAACACTATCTTTCCACATAGCCAAGCCCGCTATTCGGTGAGTTTGACTTCTCTGTCTGTTTTCGAGGGTTTGATTCCCTACTGCTGTTCTATGATCTCCTAAGTCAGAGTATGGGGGCTCCTGCACTTAGTGTTGAGGGTTAGGAAGGAGCGAGAGTGGGCCTTGAGACGCTCCTGCGTTGTGCGCGCTTCCTCCTTCCTTCTTCCCACATCTCTCCTTCAGCGCCTGCTCCCGATAGCCTACTTCTTCAAAGCGGAATCAAAAGCTAACCTTCATCCTCCAGTCGTCTCGCTCGCCGTGGTGGTGTCAAGCGTATCTCGGCTATGATATACGATGATGCGCGCAGCGCTTTGAAGGATCGACTGACGGGTGTACGTGTCGAACTACCAACGTTCTTCAAGGCCATCTGGACTAACGTAACCTCAGATCATCCGCGATTGCATTACGTACGTGGAGTACCGCGGAGCTAAGACGATCACTATCTATGATGTGAGTTTCTCCCACTTTTGGCCTCCATCTTGACTTTTTCACAGATGCAGCTGACTTGAGGATACTTATGCTGACATCTCTCTAGGTCATTCATTCCCTCCGCCGCCTTGGAGCGCCAATCTACGGTTTCGACCCCGAGACCTATGATCCTAGAAAGCGCAAGGGCTCCGGCCAGTAAGGCAACCAACGTGTTGTCCTTTTAACTACTACTGAGATATACCTACTGGGTTACGGCACATTACCATGAACGCATGAAGCTTTTCCGTGGGAATGGCCGACATCCGCGTCTACTGTCTAATTGACGAATAGAGAGAGCGAATCTTTAGCTTCTCGAGACGCGTTTGGTCATCCGTTGAGAATGGAAATAGGCGCCGGCATGATGGGACAAGAGACTGCCACGACTGTTTTTCAAGCCTGTTCTAACACGGCTGCTACAGCACACGTTTGTCATAGGATACACTTGTGTCGAGGGGGACACGCGGACAGACGCTGTTCGGGATGACTTTGGACTCCGGAAGCTCCCATTCACTGGGTTACTGAAGGACCAGCTGAGGGCGTATGAACGTCATGAGTTTGATCGACGTGGGCTCACCTCACAACAAGTTCACTATCGGATACAGTGCCTGTTGGTTGAGCTCGGCGTCCATCGGACATCAGAGGCGATGAAAACGAGCAGGTTGCTAGACTGCCACTGGGGAAGCCGCATCGAGAAGATTAGCATAAACACCAAAATGAACATGTCGCCATCACACACAAAACAGTGAATCAAGAAGCTTTCAAGTGGCAAGCCAAACGAAGGGATTAGATTAGGCAGAGACGCAAGGATCAGATATTCTTCATGTCTTTCCTTGTCCTGCACGTCTAGGCCGCTCTCATAGTGAAGGTTCACCAGGGACTCAGCCTTCTGTCTCTCGCTCTATATAAACCGCCAATGACTGTGAAAATCAAAACGAGGGGTATCGAGAAAGTAAAAGTATTTTGAAGAAAAAAAAAGAAGGGAAAACAATGAAGACCCTGCAGCTATCATCGTTCGTCTGTGCGATGTGCCTCGCAGTTTCTCGAGGGTATAAAAAGACCTAAGTCCGATTTCAATCCAGTACTACCCACCGCCCCCACCCCATCCCGCTCACTTCCCGTCGTCTTGTCATACAGGCGACATCAAGATTCTTTTCTTCTTTTTCGTCCAATAAAAGTTTTTTTAAGAGGTAACGTTAGTTCAGAGCCCCATACGAGCTAGATCTGAAGCGAATTCCGCAGAGGCAAAGCTGCTTCACCTCTTCTTCTTGAGCATCTCCCTCTCGGCCAGCACGCCGTCGAGCGTCTTGGCCGCCCACCGCTCGCGCTTCCGGAAGGTGCCGTTGAAGAACTCGGGCAGGACCATCTGGCTGTTGGCGTGCTCCACAGCGAAGCCGACCTCGGCGTCCTTGCCGCAGCGCTCGCGGGTGATGCGCACGGCCTCGTGGAGCAGGTCGGTGCCGACGCCCTTGCCGCGGTAGCGCAGCTTGGTCGTCCACGCGCGGATAAGGCCCTTGCCGCCGCGGAAGCTGCTGGCCTTGTTGCGGCGCCGACCGCCGCCGCTGCCGGCGGGGACGGCGATGGGGACGGCGGGCTCGAGGCGCAGCACGAGGGCGCCGACGATCTCGGAGCCGAAGCGGGTGCCGAGGACGAGGTCCTCCTCGGTGGGGGAGGTGGCGTCCGGGACGGGGCGGATGAAGGACCAGGAGACGGCCTCGGCAAGGGGGATGTAGCCGGACGTGACGTAGCGAATGGCGAGGAGGTAAGTCATGAGGACGCCGGAGAGGAGGGTGAGGGTGGTGCCAAGGTCCTGCTTGGCGTACTGGTAGGCGACACCGAGGGCAAGGGAGAGGCCGGCAAGGGGCACGGGGTGGAAGACGAGGGCGAAGGAGGCCTGTTGACGCTGCTGGGCGATGGAGTCTGCGATCAGGTGCAGGGCGGCGGCCTTGTCGTCGCGGGTGGAGAGGACCTCGAGCGAGAGGGGTGGGATGTCGTCGAGGGGGTCGAGGGTTTGGGAGTTTGCGAGGGGGGAGGGGGCGGCAGGGCGGTGGTGGGAGACGCCGCTGGTTGTTGGCTGGAGCACGGGGGTGCTCGTGTTTGAAGACATTGCTGAGGGGTTGAGGACCAGGTTTGCGCGGAGGAAGGTGAAGAAGGCTGGTGGTTTTTGTTAGTCTTTTTGTGGTTGCGCCGGGTGGTTTGGTGTTGCGCAAAGCAGTGTGAGGTGAGGTTTTGAGTGAGAAGTGAGAGACAAGATAGAAAAGGTTGTTGAAATTTCAGATGAGATTGGTTTTTGTAGAATGGTCTGGATCCCGCGAGCCGAGGATCCGTGGCCTTTTGGATCCGTCTGCCAGGTGCTTGCAAATATTGACCCCACACACAAGCAGTAGTCAAGCAAGTGGTGCATGCGATTGCTTACAATACGAGTTGGAGATTTGCCAGGGTTGGTGGATTTGAGGTGTTGATGAGATGCAGTCGAAGCGATGCAGTGCCAAGACGGAGGGGGGAGAGATGTCGTTGAAGAAGCGTAGCCAAGACAAATGAAAACCAAGAACTGGAAAGAGCCTCAAAAATTGCAACGAGGCAGACAAGGAGGAAGAAAAAAAAGAAAGAAACCCTGTCTCTTACCTGCGCTTGTTTTGATGGCCGGGACAGCGTGGTTGAACGTGTTCAGGCCGTTGTGAGCGTGCCAGTTGCTCACATTGAGCTCCCGGATGCCCATGTGGTGAGGGGACTCCATCTTATTGGTCGACACTCTTCTGTGTGCAAGGGAATGCCGCGCTGGGCTTCGGGGTGGCGGACAGCTGGCGGCAGACGATAAGCGCGGCGTCTGGGTTCTAAGCAGAGCGGAACATTCAACCCAATCCAAAGACGGATGCTGGTCTCGTGACGTGGGTGTCCTGAACGGCGTTGACGACGAATTGAGACGAGGGCCTCGTGGTTCGTCTTTTCGTTTACGGTAAGAGGGGCCGGATTATGGATCGATGAATGGGGGAGAGAAGGGAAACCGTCCCGTCTATATAGCCCTATGTGCGTATACGCTGTTGGAAAAGAAGAAAAGGCCCCTTTCCTGGATTCCTTTGGGTCGTTGGTTGAGGGGGTGGCTGGCGGTTAAGAAAAAGGGTGTTGGTTCGTGTATTGCGGTTCATGCGGTTGGTATTAATTATCACCAGGTAAGGTATGGTGAGGTAGGGGTCCGTTGGGGTGCTCCCTCGTTCCTTTTTTTTTTTTTTTCGACTCGCTCGGGGAGTTTTGTGGTGTGTGTGGTTGGTATTTCTGCTGGGAACTGACTTGCACGGACAGAAAATCTTATCGCCTGCGCACGCCGTCGTCGGGACACCCGTCCGAAGTGGCTGGACCGGGGTGATGGAGAGAGGGAGGCAGGCAGATGGATGGTCTAAACAAGAAGGCTTGCTTAGGGAAAAGAAGAAGCAAAGTGGGAACCGAGGAAGATTAAATAACGTGTTTGCCGTTTTTTCAATCTTCTCTCGAACCAGCCCAAGGTGCTTTCCGGGGGGAGTGGGAAAGGTAAGAAGAAAAAGAAGTGAAAAAAAAGGTGTAATAAAACGAAATAAGGCTTTGGTTGGACCTAAAATCTGCAGAAGAAAGCAAATTTTTTGAAGGGTGGGTGGACTTTTGGTTAAGTACCTTTCCTTCCCACTGGCAGTGACGGCAGCAGTTGCAAGGTCAAGGTTCAAGGTCAGGCAGGGCTGGAAATGTCCGGGGGAAGAGAGGAAGCAGCAGATGTGGATGAGGGATGGGGGTGGTTGATGGGATGGGACGTTCTGGATTGGGCCGGGAAGGGTCAAGGCCAGGCCAGGCCAGGGAACGACCAGAAGATGGGGGAGTGAGGGTGGGAAAGGAAAAAAAGATGAGCAAGGCGGTCGACCGGTGGTGGTGGTGGTGGTGGTGGTGGTGGTGCGAATGGGAACCTCCTTCAAACCAACGTCGAAACGGAGACTAAGACTGTTTTTGGGACGGGGGCCCTCTCTTCTCTTTCTCTTTTTCTGGACCTGCCTGTGCTTGGGTTTGGGGGGAGGACCGGGGATGGGATTGTCTTGCCTTTAAGGAGACGACGACGACGGACGAGCCCCATGCCAATGCCATGTGAGCGATGAATAAGAAGAGGAAGTAGAGACGGACGGGATGCTTCGTGCTCTGTTCTGTTCTGTCCTGAGATGGTTGTTGGTGGCTTGATGCATGTGGTGTGGGCTAAGGCGAGAAGGTGTTTCTGGGCCACCCCTCATATCAGGACCCTACTATCATTCATGATCGGATCGACTGGGTCGACGTGACCTCGGGATTACCCTCATTCTCCTGTCTATCTCTTGCTGTTGTTGACGCCACTGGTTGGGCGGATTTGCAAGAGATACATGGAGATGCACACACATACACTCACTCGCATAGTTTCACGCACGGCATATTACGTCTTCCTCCTCCTCCTCCAGAGACTACATACATAGTACAGAGTAGTCTCGAACGAAGCGAGCTCGTTGGTTGCCGGGTGAGAGAGAGCTGGACCAGTCGGTCACCAAGGCCACCACCGCGAAATCCGCACCCGCCGTCTTGCAGGTTTCTGATAAGGGTCCCCTCCATGGCAGCAGGAGGACGTTCCTCAGCTCCGATAAGGCGGGCCATCCGCGTCGTCGTCTCGTCGTCGTCGTCGTCGTGGTTGTCAGGTTGGAACTTGGGGGTGGCATTCTTCTGTGCCAATCATCTTCATGTTTGATGGGATTTTCCCAGGTGAGTGGGTCCCTACGCCGCCATGGCTTGTCAAGCCCAAACAAGACGAGCGTCTCTGGCGGCGTCTGGGAACCAACGACGGGGGTCGAGTTGGTCTTGGCAGGATTGAAGGGTGGTGGGGGGAGAACCGAAGGGATGAAAAAGCCAAGGGGGTTTGATGGGAGGTGTGGTGGGGTCCCACATCCAAGCAAGTTCTTCTCGTTCTGAGCTCTCTCTCACTGCTCTCACTCACCTCTCTGCTGATGGAGCTAGTGTTGTTGCTGGAGGAGGGGTCCTTGTCAAAGTCCAGTGTCAGTCGGTGTCAGGATCCAATCCAACGCGACGTGATCCCAATGCATCATGGATGTGACTCGTTAGCTCCCCTCCCCCCAATGGGGTGAGCAAGTAAATAGTTGCAACTCTCGGCCCAGCCCAGGCCTCTTT